TAGCATTTTAAAGTCAGGTTAAACTTTGGTTAAACAATAGTATCTATATTATAAAACTTTCTGTGATTTTTCTGTGTTTGATTATTATAGGAATTACAGTGTTTATTATTTGAAGCAGCAGTTGTTTTCTTGTCACAGTTCGTCACAAGATTGCGGGGGGTGGGGGTGGGTGGGGGGTGATCATACTACAGGTCTATATACAATGTCCTTTGTAAAATATATAGCTTTTCTCTTTAATTGTTGATTTGTATCATTGTTTTCCAAAGTATTTTGTAAACTCTGAATAACAGTTTTCATCTGAGTTTTAGAAATGTTTCCATTTTCTGGATTTAAATTTAGCAGCTGTCTTATCTGAAAATAATGTAATAATCAGTTCTCTAATAATCAAATATATCCATCCATCTTCATCCGCTTTATCTGAGGCCGGGTCGCGGGGGCAGCAGCCTAAGCAAATAATCAAATATAATGTCAGTTAAAATATTTGGAATTTTTTCTTCTTGCATCCTGACTGTAACAAACTTGCATCGTGTAGTAAGTGTCTTAACAGTTAACCAAGTTAATGTGGGGTGGAAGATATGATAGATCCCTACTGTCACAAGTAAATGTGTCTGCCATAAATTTTACTAAGTGCAGAAGCTCAATTAAAGTTTCAGCTTTAATTCAGTGGGTTGAACAAAACGATGCACAAAAATGTGAGGAAATTACACATTTCCATCCATCCATCTTCTTCCGCTTTATCCGGGGCTGGGTCGTGGGGGCAGCAGCCTAAGCAGAGAAGCCCAGACCTCCCTCTCGCCAACCACCTCCTCCAGCTTACACCAAGGCGTTCCCAGGCCAGCCGAGAGATATAATCTCTCCAGCGTGTCTTGGGTCTGCCCCGGGGCCTCCTCCCGGTGGGACATGCCCGGAACACATCATCCAGGAGGAGCCCTGGAGGCATCCTTGTCAAATGCCCAAACCACCTCAGCTGGCTCCTTTCGATGTGGAGGAACAGCGGCTCTACTCTGGGCCCCTCCCGGATGGCTGAACTTCTCACTCTATCTCTAAGCCACCCTTTGGAGGAAGCTCATTTCCGCCGCTTGTATCCGCGATTTCGT